GCAAAGCCATTTTTCGAGAATTTGGAAAGGGGTAACACCATTAAATTGACGTAAAATCGACCAAAAATTACAAGCCAATCTAAGAACACAGTTTTTTTAGAGAATTAAACCACAATCATTTAGAAGTATGCCATTTTGAAATCGGATGGCTGTAAGAAAAGTTATGGCCTTAGAAGTGCAGGTTTTAGGTCACTTTTCTGCAAAGCCAGTTTTCGAGAATTTGGAAAGGGGTAACACCATTAAAATGACGTAAAATCGACCAAAAATTACAGGCCAATCTAAGAACACAGCTTTTTAGAGAATTAAACCACAATCATTTAGAAGTATGCCATTTTGAAATCGGATGACTGTAAGAAAAGTTATGGCCTTAGAAGTGCAGGTTTTAGGTAACTTTTCTGCAAAGCCAGTTTTCGAGAATTTGGAAAGGGTAACACCATTAAAATGACGTAAAATCGACCAAAAATTACAAGCCAATCTAAGAACACAGTGTTTTAGATAATTAAACCACAATCATTTAGAAGTATGCCATTTTGAAATCGGATGGCTGTAAGAAAAGTTATGGCCTTAGAAGTGCAGGTTTTAGGTCACTTTTCTGCAAAGCCATTTTTCGAAAATTCGGAAATGGAAATGACGTAAAATCGACCAAAAATTACAGGCCAATCTAAGAACACAGTTTTTTAGAGAATTAAACCACAATCATTTAGAAGTATGCCATTTTGAAATCGGATGACTGTAAAAAAGTTATGGCCTTAGAAGTGCAGGTTTTAGGTCACTTTTCTGCAAAGCCATTTTTCGAGAATTTGGAAAGGGGTAACACCATTAAATTGACGTAAAATCGACCAAAAATTACAAGCCAATCTAAGAACACAGTTTTTTTAGAGAATTAAACCACAATCATTTAGAAGTATGCCATTTTGAAATCGGATGGCTGTAAGAAAAGTTATGGCCTTAGAAGTGCAGGTTTTAGGTCACTTTTCTGCAAAGCCAGTTTTCGAGAATTTGGAAAGGGGTAACACCATTAAAATGACGTAAAATCGACCAAAAATTACAGGCCAATCTAAGAACACAGCTTTTTAGAGAATTAAACCACAATCATTTAGAAGTATGCCATTTTGAAATCGGATGACTGTAAGAAAAGTTATGGCCTTAGAAGTGCAGGTTTTAGGTAACTTTTCTGCAAAGCCAGTTTTCGAGAATTTGGAAAGGGGTAATACCATTAAAATGACGTAAAATCGACCAAAAATTACAAGCTAATCTAAGAACACAGTTTTTTAGAGGACTAAACCACAATCATTTAGAGGTATGCCACATTGAAATCGGATGTCTGTAAGAAAAGCTATGGCCTTAGAAGTGCAGGTCTTAGGTCACTTTTCTGCAAAGCCATTTTTCGAGAATTTGGAAAGGGGTAACACCATTAAATTGACGTAAAATCGACCAAAAATTACAAGCCAATCTAAGAACACAGTTTTTTTAGAGAATTAAACCACAATCATTTAGAAGTATGCCATTTTGAAATCGGCTGACTGTAAGAAAAGTTATGGCCTTAGAAGTGCAGGTTTTAGGTCACTTTTCAGCAAAGCCAGTTTTCGAGAATTTGGAAAGGGGTAACACCATTAAAATGACGTAAAATCGACCAAAAATTACAAGCTAATCTAAGAATACAGTTTTTTAGAGGAGTAAACCACAATCATTTAGAGGTATGCCACATTTAAATCGGATGCCTGCAAGAAAAGTTATGGCCTTAGAAGTGCAGGTTTTAGGTCACTTTTCTGCAAAGCCATTTTTCGAAAATTCGGAAAGGGGTAACACTGTAAAAATGACGAAAAATCGACCCCAAAATACAAACCAAGTTCAGTATACAGATTTTTAGAGAATTAAACCACAAATATTTAGAGGTATGCCACTCTGAAATCGGATGTCTGTAAGAAAAGTTATGGGCTGAGAAGTGCAGACTTTAGGTCACTTTTCTGCAAAGCCATTTTTCGAGAATTTGGAAAGGGGTAACACCATTAAAATGACGTAAAATCGACCAAAAATTACAGGCCAATCTAAGAACACAGATTTTTAGAGAATTAAACCACAATCATTTAGAAGTATGCCATTTTGAAATCGGATGACTGTAAGAAAAGTTATGGCCTTAGAAGTGCAGGTTTTAGGTAACTTTTCTGCAAAGCCAGTTTTCGAGAATTTGGAAATGGAAATGACGTAAAATCGACCAAAAATTACAGGCCAATCTAAGAACACAGATTTTTAGAGAATTAAACCACAATCATTTAGAAGTATGCCATTTTGAAATCGGATGACTGTAAGAAAAGCTATGGCCTTAGAAGTGCAGGTTTTAGGTCACTTTTCTGCAAAGCCATTTTTCGAGAATTTGGAAAGGGGTAACACCATTAAATTGACGTAAAATCGACCAAAAATTACAAGCCAATCTAAGAACACAGTTTTTTTAGAGAATTAAACCACAATCATTTAGAAGTATGCCATTTTGAAATCGGCTGACTGTAAGAAAAGTTATGGCCTTAGAAGTGCAGGTTTTAGGTCACTTTTCTGCAAAGCCATTTTTCGAGAATTTGGAAAGGGTAACACCATTAAAATGACGTAAAATCGACCAAAAATTACAAGCCAATCTAAGAACACAGTTTTTTAGATAATTAAACCACAATCATTTAGAAGTATGCCATTTTGAAATCGGATGGCTGTAAGAAAAGTTATGGCCTTAGAAGTGCAGGTTTTAGGTCACTTTTCTGCAAAGCCATTTTTCGAGAATTTGGAAAGGGGTAACACCATTAAATTGACGTAAAATCGACCAAAAATTACAAGCCAATCTAAGAACACAGTTTTTTTAGAGAATTAAACCACAATCATTTAGAAGTATGCCATTTTGAAATCGGATGGCTGTAAGAAAAGTTATGGCCTTAGAAGTGCAGGTTTTAGGTCACTTTTCTGCAAAGCCAGTTTTCGAGAATTTGGAAAGGGGTAATACCATTAAAATGACGTAAAATCGACCAAAAATTACAAGCTAATCTAAGAAAACAGTTTTTTAGAGGACTAAACCACAATCATTTAGAGGTATGCCACATTGAAATCGGATGTCTGTAAGAAAAGCTATGGCCTTAGAAGTGCAGGTTTTAGGTCACTTTTCTGCAAAGCCATTTTTCGAGAATTTGGAAAGGGGTAACACCATTAAATTGACGTAAAATCGACCAAAAATTACAAGCCAATCTAAGAACACAGTTTTTTTAGAGAATTAAACCACAATCATTTAGAAGTATGCCATTTTGAAATCGGCTGACTGTAAGAAAAGTTATGGCCTTAGAAGTGCAGGTTTTAGGTCACTTTTCTGCAAAGCCATTTTTCGAGAATTTGGAAAGGGTAACACCATTAAAATGACGTAAAATCGACCAAAAATTACAAGCCAATCTAAGAACACAGTTTTTTAGATAATTAAACCACAATCATTTAGAAGTATGCCATTTTGAAATCGGATGGCTGTAAGAAAAGTTATGGCCTTAGAAGTGCAGGTTTTAGGTCACTTTTCTGCAAAGCCATTTTTCGAGAATTTGGAAATGGAAATGACGTAAAATCGACCAAAAATTACAGGCCAATCTAAGAACACAGTTTTTTAGAGAATTAAACCACAATCATTTAGAAGTATGCCATTTTGAAATCGGATGACTGTAAAAAAGTTATGGCCTTAGAAGTGCAGGTTTTAGGTCACTTTTCTGCAAAGCCATTTTTCGAGAATTTGGAAAGGGGTAACACCATTAAATTGACGTAAAATCGACCAAAAATTACAAGCCAATCTAAGAACACAGTTTTTTTAGAGAATTAAACCACAATCATTTAGAAGTATGCCATTTTGAAATCGGATGTCTGTAAGAAAAGTTATGGCCTTAGAAGTGCAGGTTTTAGGTCACTTTTCTGCAAAGCCAGTTTTCGAGAATTTGGAAAGGGGTAACACCATTAAAATGACGTAAAAGCGACCAAAAATTACAAGCCAATCTAAGAACACAGTTTTTTAGAGAATTAAACCACAATCATTTAGAAGTATGCCACATTAAAATCGGATGTCTGTAACAAAAGTTATGGCCTTAGAAGTGCAGGTTTTAGGTCACTTTTCTGCAAAGCCATTTTTCGAGAATTTGGAAAGGAGTAACACCATTAAATTGACGTAAAATCGACCAAAAATTACAAGCCAATCTAAGAACAAAGTTTTTTAGAGAATTAAACCACAATCATTTAGACTCTGAAATCGGAAGACTGTAAGAAAAGTTATGGCCTTAGAAGTGCAGGTTTTAGGTCATTTTTTGCAAAGCCATTATTCAAACATTTTTATTATTCATCGGAACCAACATAAAAATGGGTAAACAAATTGATAAACGTTAAAATGAAAAATTTTAATGCAGATTTTTAGAGAATCCCACCACAAGTCTTAGGAGGTATGTCACTTTTAAATCGGCTGAAATTTGTTAAGGATATAAACTAGGATGATTTTGAACCGAATATTTCCATTCGATATTTTAGTGTAAAACATATATCAGAGGTTTTTAAATTGCCCGCCCATCTGGTAGATCGAATTGGATCAGTGCTGGGAAGGGCACAATAAACATTCACCGCAAGTAGCTTGGACCATTTTTACATTTCTGTTAGAATCCGATGTATTTTAACATTTAGTGATGGAAAAACATTGATGACGCAAACATCGGGTTACCGTTAGAGGTGGAGAGACATTGGTGTTTTCGATGTTTTTTTTGGCGGAAAACTTCGAAGTCCTATCGATGTTTAAAAAAAATGTTATCAATTAATTAGCATTGTGTTTTCTTCACTGCTAATGGAGTTTTTTGTGATTAAATGAGTGCGTAAGAACTGCAGTGGAATCGTTAAGAGTGCGTAAGAACTGGATTGAGATTTTCGATACTCGCTACCGATAGGAAATCATCGATTGGTCCCGGCCTTATATCGATATCAGCTATATTTGGAAAACATCGATGTTGGCATCGGGGCAGCTCCACCTCTATTCAGTTCGTCTGTGCGAAATTTAAGCAATTAATCAGCGAGAAACCAGCAATGTCCGCGATAGCTGGCACCCACATTCGCCTTAAAATGTGCGGTTAATATCCCCCCGCGAACCGCAACAAAGCGGTGGCCAAACAGTCCGACAAAAGCGACAGAAAGAAGCGAGAAGAAGAAGGCAAGAATTAAACAAGTTTGCGTGGAACGAAAATTGTGTGAAAAGAAAGCCACGCCGAAATAAATGCAATGATGTTTAGTGTTTAAAGAAATTAGCCAAGGAGTTTTGAGTTATTTGGAAGTCCGTTGTAAGTGGGTGTGCGTGTGTGCCGTGCGAGTGCGTGTGTGCTTGTTGTGAGTGGAGTGGAAGTGTCTCAGTCTGAGTGCAAATGAAGTTGGCCAAGCCCAAAACGAGAATTAATTAAAGCAACTAAGAAAAGTGCCCTCTTGGAGGAGGAGGATTAAATACACCCAGGGGTCAAACAAGCCGATCGGGAGCAGGACGAAAAGGACGAGAGAAGGAGCCAAAATATGGGCGAGGAACTGAAAGTGGTGCTGCGCCGCAGCGAGCAGCATTCCGGTTTCGGGTTTTCGCTGCTCGGAACCACCGGACCGCCACATGTCATCTACGACATCGTCGAGAATTCGCCGGCAGCCGATTGCGGAGCGGTAAGTAAAATGCAGGCATACTCCTTTATCCTTCATCCTTTGTGTGTGTCATTCCCGTCTGGGACAGGAGTTGCCCAGTCTCCACCCACTGGTTCCTGCTCCCCCACCCATCTATGACTTCATCAACCACCCGGCTATGAAAACAGCAACAGCAACAGCTCCCTGCTGGCCTCACTTTTGGCACTGCTACATTTAGCTACAGTATAACTTCCCTAGAGGAAACGTCATAAATGTTCATATGGTTCGAAACATTTAAGATAGCCTGGAGTTTCTCAAGATAAAATAACCCGTTCTGAATAACTAACCAATAAATATAAACAAAGATTTTTGCAATGTATATAAATATGAATTTATACATTTTCCCCTATTTTATGAACTTTCCTAAAAGATCGATCCTTTAATTTCCTAGAAACAGTGAATGTTTCTAGTTCTGACTCCCTTTGACGCATTTTTCGTGGGAACCACTTTTTGCACTTTCACAGAATTGATGTGGTTGCCTATGCCATCAAAAGGAAATGTACACATAAAATATAAATTCATTTTAAATTTTGGGCAACCAATTTATTTTCATAAGATAATTTGTTTTATTTTAAAAGCATTTAATAAACAATAAGTAAGGTGTATGTCGTCCGTCATTCCATATTTTGTTTAGTGAAAATAGTTATATTCCATGAAATGGTATTGACATTTATTATTTTTCTTAGCGTGGAAACATTGCTAAACAATTCGAATGAATTTTGTTTCTATAAATTGATAATGATTTATACATTTTTTTTAAAAATGTACACATTTGTGTACATACGCTTAAAAATTGGATACATTATTTCTCATTACTTTTTATCTACTTCTGGTACGTCTATGTGTGTGAATAGATAAGAACCTTTTTTGTATGGAATATGTTAGTTCTAGTTTTAGAAGTTTGACTGTATGCAAAGCGACCCGCCCCTCATCGGTTGATAAGAATGTTTTCCACTTTTCCACTTTTTTTATGGTGATGACCATGGCTGTATTGCTGTCTGGCGTATGTGAAAGCATTTCAATTTGCACAGCCACAAAAAGCGAAATGAGAGTCCTCCGTTGGCGTGTCATCATTGTTTGCCGCCCGTGATGTCATCGTTGTTTTAATTGATGGGAGAAGGGGGTGTCTGCGGGTTGGGTAAGACACACAAAAGACACTGTATCAATTTTCTGGCTTGTTTTACTTTTATTTACTATTTACTGTCATCGCATCGCATCTCAAAAGTTAATAGCCGAGTTCAAAAGAAAACAAAAGCAAGTAAATAAAGGGGACAAAGTAAGACAAATATTTTTAAAATAAAATGTCAATATGTGTTCTGTTGCGATTTGATGTCAAGCCAATAGAATTACCCACAAAATGATTATTGGAATTCTCTACAGAGAATAGGACAAATATCTGCTTAATTTATTTCCATTTGAAATGATAGATGTTTTTGCTCAGGTACAAAATTAAGAACAAACTCAAACAAAGAAATAATGTCTTAAGAATCTTATCTCAGTAAATTAGTAAACATATGATTAGAAACTGTCTTTTTTGTAGTCATTACCAACTCAGATTTCAGGGAAAATTGGCTGAACGCACCCAGCGGAAATTGGATAAGAATGGGCCTTACGTGGGGCCCATTTCAATTATTATTAATTTCTCGGTGCAACTCTAATTCGAAAGAAGTGCAAGGCAAAGTTAACGTATCGACAAAATGCAAATGCAGCGCTATAAAAAGCCCTGCAAAGACATTTAAAAATAAACTCACTCATGCCGATGCAAACACACAGACAGACTCAAACTTACTTTGTAATTATCGGACGTGGCAACAATAAACGATTTACACGAAACCAAAACCAAACAAAATTCTCCGGCTTTGGTTTTTTAATTTATGCGCCCGACCACCAAAAACACCGAAAACTTGGTCCCGAACAAACAACAAACTAAATGCGTGAAAGCAGAGTGCAAAAAACGCGTTGGGAATTTTAAATTGTTGAAATTATTAAGTAATTCCACACAAGCCAGGTATGACGAAGAGCAATACAAATGCATCGGGGTAATTGTCTTCAGGCAACGAACTGACATGGACATATATGAACATATAAATATCTATAAATATATGTGTATAGATGCAGCGGCACGCACTTTTTCAATTTCTTATCGCTTTCGCTTACAACTTGTTGTTATTTTTGTTGCCCGGCTTGTTTTGTGGTTGTTTGACTTGTCTTGTCGTCTCTCTATCGCGCACTCCTTATAAAGTGGGTGTGCAAGTGTCACTAGGCACTTTGGGTATCCAAAAAATATAAAAGTTACATTGCTATCAGTTGACAACCTATACAACCGATACAAATTGCAGTTTTCTCATAACCCTTTAAGGTTAAATAAATAAAACATTACACAATTAATTAGTTTATAAATGTTTTAATTTGTTCATATAGTTTGGAATAATCATACAGTTTCTGGAAAAATTAGATTAAAATTTGCACTGTAAACTGTTCAGGTTAAAATACAGCAGTTACGAAACACGATAGATTATAAAGATTATAACCCCTTCCAATCTTAAAACCTAATGAGTAACTCACACGTCGGCCCCTCGAAGGCAATTAATTTTACTTTTTATATGCCGTCATTCTGGTTGCGGTATAATTTTATTTTTCAATGAATGCACAAGCGTACACACTCAACTGGGTGTGTGTTCAAAACTGTATGTACATGTGTTTGTCCACGCTGTCGTCGGTTGTCTTTTGTCGCCTTCGCTTTTCCTTTTCCATTTCCACTTCCATTTTCTTTCCTTTTTCTTCTCTTCGCTGCAGTCTCTCGCTGTTTGTTGTTGTTTGTCCATGCATTTTCTTTGCGTTTGTTTATTTTCCTACTTCTCCAACTTGATAATATCAAGTATGCTCCATACTCGCACGATGACAAAAGTCTGTGCGTTCGGAGTGCATTAATTGTGCATTAATTGCGCAAGGCGAGTAAAGTACTTACACTTAATTCTACTTCGTTTTAAGCAGACTTTCTAATAAACCAAACCCCTTTGGGATTTAAAAAAAAAAATATTCTTCTCTAAAAGTGTCTACGAATGTTTATTTCAATTATTATTTTATTTTTTAAATAATATTTCTCCAGTTTTTGGTATGATTACCAAATATATTTGCCATCTTAGTTTGTAGAATAAGGAAAAAAATGTGCATTTTAGGAAATGGTCAAGAATAGGAATTTTACTCTTTAAAGCGTAGTAGAAGCTCGCTGTTCTAAATGAAAATTAATTCTTGGGTTAATCCCCACGCTAGGGATTTATATTGTTAAAAATCCAACCTGGTTGTTTATGTTTTAGAAATTATTTATATTTGCTTAGTCATTAATCTTTTAGGGTGCCAAGTAATTGGCTCTCCTCTCGCCTCTTAAAAACATGTTTGTTCTCAGCTGTTCAAGGAAAAGAATTTAATATTCGGATTTTTTAGGGCACACAAAAAATCGGAAACAAGCAAAAAATAAACCTTTCAAGCATCAGATGTGTATGCCTCGCCAGACTTTTTCGCTGTCACTTGCGCCCCCTCTCCTTCGAAATTTGTAGCTTCTTTTGTTCTCACTGGCGTTGTTGCAAAATTCTAACGTTATGCTTAATTACTCGTTAACTGGAAATGACAAACGACTTTTCGCTGTTGCCGCTTTTGTTGTCATTGTTTCCATTGTAGTTGTTGTTTCTGCCAGTTGTGTGGCTCCGCCCGCTGCTAGTAACAAATTAATTGCCACCGACAAGTCGCAGACGACAAAAAAGAAAAAAAAATAATGGAAGAAGCTCTTGGCTCTTAGCTATTTATTGATTTTCCGCCTTGAAATGGGCATGTGTTTGCTGCTGCCATGATCGGGAATCGCTCCCCTCGTTCTTTGGCAAATTGTCGGTAATGACAATTGACACGTTCAAGAAGTCCCAACAATAGTAATACAAAGTCGAGCAGGTCGGCCAACTTCAAGCTCTGAATAGCACAATCCAACAACAAGCATTCACTCGATTACAATTGCGAGATAGAAGTAAATGTCAAGAGATTGGGATACCGCTTAAGCTTCTGCTTTTAATGCTCTTTCATTGCGTAGTTTTAGTTATAAACTATGTTTGCAGAAAGTATCATTTAAACATTTATTTTCTTAAAATGTCTCCTTCAGCTTATGACTAAACTATCAATTTTAGATTCAGATATTTTCTGAATGGTTTTAGAATTTTTATAAGTAAGCAATAGGTACTCCGATATTGACTGCTGAACTAAACAAAAATACAAATGTAGGATTACTTCTTTGATAGGGTATTTCAATTGCAGCTCTTGCGATTTGGGACTTTCTGTCCATAAATTTGCCCCCCTCTCATTTGTTTCACTTGGAGTCAAAAGTGCAAAAAAGAAGAGTAAACTCGCTTTAATTGAATTACAAAAGTAGGAAAATTGCGCACGCGTTTATTAAGTTGGTTTTCTTGCTGCTTTTTGCTTTCTGCTTGATGGCAGTCGGCCCAGCCCAACTAAATTCAACCCGGCTGAGTTTAGTTCCATTCGACCCGGCTTTCCTTGAGGTTGAGCTTTGGGGGTGGTACTTCTCCCGCTCTTGGGAGGTGGAAATGGAAACGGAGGAGGAGGTGGATGCGAAGGCGCTTGAGGAGATGGAGGCCTGAGGTGTACGAGTAGCTCTGTGTGCGCGCCGCCGCTGCGGTTCGTTGCACGCCACGGCACAGCGAGCAGCAGTAGAAGCAGTAGCAGCCACTATAACAGTCAAAGAAATAATAAGAACAATAAGTGCATAAGGCACTCAGCTGGCCAACAATCCAGAGATGCCAAAACTAAAAAAGAGTGGCATTTAGCTACCTGAAGCAAATATAAAGCTTTATTTAGTTATATGTCCAGTTAAGACTAGGTCTTCTCTTTAAATTGCTATTCTCTTAACTTATTTTCTTGCCAGTTTATTGATTCAACTTAAAATTTGAACCCCTAAAACCTCAAAGATTAATTTTCAA